GTACAAATTTCTATGGTAGGAATTACTGTGAAATGCTATAGGGTTGATAGGGTATCTAAAATGGTGACTACAAAATACAGTGGTGTTCTACCATGGTATATGGGTATCACTATAAAATATGATATTATGGCTATGGAATCTTGGTCTTCAGTCAGGATCTATTTTAAATGGAAAATAATGCCAAACTGCCAAAACTAGATGATTTTATAAAAAAAAACTTCTATTTAAACTATTACTGGCACAAAGTATTAAATACCTTTCTGGTGGCTGGAGATACATCCATATTCAATATAGTATAGGTGTGGTCTGGTGGCTATCTTCCAAGGTACTGACAATTTTGGCAGATTCGGGCTGCTATTTATAGTCTGGGACGCTGGGTGGCTAGCTTGGCTCGGGTGCCTATCTTGGCAGTATCGTCATCGTCTCCGATGACGTCACTGCCTAGCTCGCGGAGGCAGAAATTTAGCCAGTGCCAGCTGCCATGTTTAAATTGGCAGCGTGTGGCTAATTGATCATTAAAACGGCTATAACGTAGAAAATAAAAATATTTTAAGTAATATAACCATCGTAAATATCAAATGGATGAAGTTATCTGTACATGCAGTTTATGTTTTGATGATTAAACGTTCAGCTTGATGTCATGAAGTACAGTTAATTACTTTAGTACTTGAGTAGTTTCCGGATACTGGTTTATTTTCGATCGTAAAATGATGGGCCTGATCGTTACAATAATATCCAAAAATACCCTTTTTATAGTTTAAATAGACCATATGGGAGGGGGTAAATTTTGGATATGATAGACCTGTATATTTTGGATATTATTCGTTAATATTGATAGAATTACAAGTTCATGTGGAAAACATTTAATATTCTACACTCTAGCATGCCTACCAAAGTTCATGATGAACAATGTCTTTGGGCTGCCCTTTCATAAATGAGATATAATTCTGGTAAAAACCAATTAATCATTGAACAGTTTCAAAGAATATCTGGTAATCAGATGTCTACTAGTTCATCTTCACTTGCTGCATTTCTTGCGTGGACGCTCTTTGATGCTTTGCATTAATGCTTTTCTTGTATTTATATGTTTTTAGCATTTATCTGTTCTATACGGGAAAATATTGTTTGTTAAACCATATCGCACAAACCACAAGTTGAGCTCAATATTGGACAAACCGTCAGGAGCCCAATATTTCATAAGTCATTCAAGATAAGTCGAACATCAGTCGCAATGAGTTATTAAGTCTATATAATCACGTTATTGGACATTCTCTTATATAAGCAAAGTAAACAGCTATATTGGAAGAGGCGCAAATGAAATCAGTATTGTACTCAATAGCACACGGGCTTGTCAATTTATCTTTCTTTTCCCACTATATATAATATATAACAAGGGACACAACTCATCATTACTAAATTCACGATCGCAGTGTCAGGTTGAGTGTTGGACATTCATTAAAGAATCAATTATTTAAAAAAAAATTCACCAACGTTTTTACACATGATCGTAAAATTTCGATAAGTAGAGTTACACATGTGAAAGTAAACCAATACTTACATAAGAAAATTTGATGATATAATCGGTTAAACATCATTCATTTACGATTTGTGTCACTGGGTGAGACATATGTCCTGACCGGGACTCGAAATACCGTTCCGAGGCTAAACCGACTTAGCTATCTGGTCGTTTACACACCTTCTTCTATGAGAAGTGAATAATTCTGGAACGTGGCATATTTCCTCGCTATACTGAAATACATCCTCGAGTTTCTCAAGATTACAGTGCAATGTGACTTATGCATAAGTTGTATCATAGTTTGTGGACCTTTTTGTTGAAATTGGTCTGAGTTAAATCGTAAACTTATACATGCACAGTGCGTTAACTAGAGTGCAGGTATTAGTTACCTGCACTCCAGAGCATGCCCATTGAGTGGCTCATTTTTGCTGGGGTTTACATATTGTTACGGCAGAGAAAGGAAAAGCGACAGCATTATCATATTCAGGTGTTCGTTCATTGGTTCCTTTTTGCCTGGGTTTCATATTGTGACAACAGGGTACGCGTTTTTATGTTTAACTATGATACAAAGAGAAAGAGCATCAAAACACTCGGTAATCTGATTAATACTTGGGGACTACGCCCCCTCGTACAAATCAGATAGCCTGTGGATTCGATGCTCCTTTTTTAACTTAAACACTGAGCTTTAGTCATGGAGGTCTGGTCCCCCATTGGGCGCCAATTGTCGCAGGTCAAACGAAACAAAGGGGCTCGTCGACTCTGCTGTGAGTTGACTTTAATATTTTTAATTAATCGTTTTGTTTATTTGCAGGAGGAAACGGATCAAGTTTTAAATACGCACGTATGGTTATATCAAGTAAGATCTTTAAACATATCTTCAAACAGGTACAAATAATGTTTTATTCACATAAATATAAACAGTTACATTGCATGTGCATTGCTGTCACATTGTTTTAGCTGTTTGGTAAGAATTAGGTTGGAGGGTCTGGCTCAAATATTTTTCTTGAATCATAATCCGGATGAATTTGAAACTTCTTACAAGGAAAAAGACACATTATCTAAATTCAAGAATGGGGCATCAGGTAGTTGGATCAACATTTACGTGACATCTCTGTTTTAATATAATTTTATTAACAAGGTAATACATTTAACTATATTTCGGCGTGTATTTAAATACAAACCCCGTGGCTGAGTTATTAAGGTCGTTTTATTAAAATCACATTCACCGCCGTGAGTTCAATGCGTGACTTTAGATTCTATCATGTGATGAAGCTATCCAGGTATAGGTAACCAGAGACATTGGTGAATTTCGTCAAAATAAAACTTACAAAAGCGGCAACTGCAGCGTAACGAAATCGTTTATAGTTTCAATGATTCCTTTCGTGGAATAACCAGAAAGCCTCGTTGTGAAATTGTCAACCAATCGTTAGTTAAAATTGATAACAGAACCGCTGTGTGGTAGCTTACATTCATATTAAATACTTTTTGTTATCAACAGATTTGTTATCAAATTTAATTGTATGTTGTTTGAAAAGGATAGAAGAGAATAAATATTAGATCGCCTTTTGACATTTCCTTTTCTTTCCAAGTCATCGCGAACCTTTCTCTTGCAAATCGCTTTAGTTTTTTTAACTCGATATATGTTATAAGTTTTCAAACGGATTTTTTCCTCGAATAATAACCGGAGTATATCCGAAATATTTCTAAGGAAAGTTTAATTTGTACTGAAAAAATAAACTTTGTCGTTGTACAGTTACAGATAATAATCACAGACAGAAAAAAATAATCTAAATAAGATCCAACTGCTAAATTTGAAATTTATCCAATAGTCCACGTATCATTTTGTATTTCAATAAGTTTCATTTTACACGTGTTTGCATCTTTTTGCATTTGTACTTTTATACATTATTTTCATTTGATTGAAAAAAAATTTCTTGAAAAAATACATAAACGAACTACATATTTCATTAAATTGTGACATACAACACACACAACTGAGCAATTTTTGTTGTGTGTAAGCAAGATAAATATATTTATCAAATTAAAGATGCGGTACATGTATAACAGTGCATTTTTTTCATTTCAAAGTCAATGTTGCATAACGGACACCTTATTTGACGACGATGGTTATAGTATAAAGTTCATATTGTAACCTAAGCGGTATATAAATATAACAATATGATAAACAAGATCAACAAGGAGTCGCGACGTTCAATGAACGCAACACATGTATACTTTGATATTAACAACCAAAACAGAATTTTTATTTCATTTTCATTATATTTAATCCACTTAAACGAACATGTCAGTCCCTTTTTTCCCCTCTCGTGCGTTCGTACATTAAATGTACTCTGCGCAAATCTACATGTATATGATCATCAGTTGCTGTTAACACAGTTTAGTTTTTGTTCGCTGTATCCCTTTGAAGAGAAGAATATACAACTTATATTGTAAATTCAGACTGTTGCTAAGGTCCGTTTTTGAATGAGCAAGATTCTAAGATCTTGGTAATTGTAGTGGTATTTTATGTTAGTTAGAAATATACTGTTTACCAAATACTAAAATTAAGATTGTTTTGCCAAAAACAAAATGTGGAAAGATTGAATTGCTTTATTATCGATATATTATCTTTAACGGAGGTCTTACTAGTACTTCAGAATTTCTTTTATTTTAATTTTTAAGCATAAGGACATTTCTAGGTCAGTGGGTAAGAAACTTACGAAAGTTAAACGAAAAGAAAAGCTACAGCCTCACTTACATCCCATCCTGGCAGAGCCCCGGTACTTACCCAGGTAGTTTACGAAACGTCGGTAATTATACTCAGGTACCCGCTCATACCTGAAATATACACGGCAGAGCATTAGAGGCCTTCCACAACTATCTAGTAAATCTGGAAAGTCGTCATATAACCTAATCTGTATTGTTGCGATGTAATAACAACCAAAAATATAAACCATTTTTTATGTTTATAAGGCAAACATATTTCATCTGGTTAGGTTAATTTTGTAAACACCTCTCTTTGCATGTCCGTCACATGCACCAATTTTCCGGGTATGAATCAATACTAATTTACTTTAAAAGATGTCTCTTTGTTTTGATTTACGCATGCAACTTATAAAAAACGAGGTGTTTGTTTGGTTCTGAATGAGAGATATAACACAATTAATTGTTCTGGTTACAAATGTACTAAATTTTTCCAAATTTTGTTTTTTACTAATTTTTTTTAAAAATAAGACTTGAAGACGATGTTTGAAATGGCCCCCTAAATGATTTTAAGGGCTTAAAACATTTTGAATACCTTCTGCGAATTTTGGGGTTCCCAGATTTGTTTTAATAATAGGCGTACTTTTTAAAAAACTTTCTGCGGGAAATGAAACATATTCTCAGCAAGATTTTTTAAACATTTTTACAATTTTAAAAATTCCCCTCAGATCAACTTAGATATAAGAATAACATGATGAATAATTTAAGAAGGATAGAAGACTTCAGTTGCAAGCAAACAAAACAACAACTAAAAGCATGAGATATTAATTTTTACTTGTATATACATTTTTCAAATATTTCAGTGTCGAAGACTTTAAAGCCGGTAAAATAGGCGGAAATGTAGTGACACAGAACAATGGAGTCGTGACATGGGCACAGTCATTAAAATTGAGAAGTTCATGTTCCATGGATGTTTCTAGGTTTCCTTTTGATGAACAACATTGCATTCTGAAGTTTGCGTCTTGGACATACCATGGATTCCAAGTATTCATATTTCCATGCAATTGTCTGCCTCATTCATAGGCCTTCACTGCAGGATTGTTAAAGTTGCTTAAATCCTTTCACCCTCAAACTGTGGGTGAATCTTATCAAAAACCTGCAATTAGTTTTCTTAAGAGACATATTTAAGTGGATTACGGATGGTCGGTGTGTCTATTAAGGTGATTTGAGTGCTATACAAGGGACATGACACTGTTATAGATCTTTCTGCTGCACCATTTCGGAAAATATTACTATTTCGCTTTCAATATGTCCAGAGAAACCTTCAAAAAAGATAAATCCAGTAGGAACAGGTGAATTTAAAATTTGAATCTTTAAAAGTATAGTTACTTCGCTGCAGGCATATCTAAATGCAAAGAAAAGGCTTACTTTCACATTGTTAAAACCCATGCATGATCCATCCTAATAATCTGATTTCAATATATTTCAGGTCAATTTATCAGTGATGACTGACTCAGTGGATCTCAGCGACTTCATTCCTAGTTCAGAATGGGAACTAATGGAATCAAAAGTTCAACTTAACCGATTATTTTATAGATGTTGTGACACACCATTTCTTGACGTGACAGCGCGATTAGTCATATTACGAGCACCTACATTCTATTTCTATACCATGATTATTCCTTGCTTATGGTTGACCATTTTAAATTTGCTTGTGTTCTTGCTGCCAGCTGAAAGTGGAGACAAGATTTCATTAGGAGTTACGGTGTTTCTTTCATTTTCTGTGTTCATGCTTGTAATTTCGGAAAAAGTCCCAGTCGCAGGTACAATTCCGTTGTTAGGTATGTATTAGATTTTCATTAGATTTCCCTGACGTTTAGACCGAGGTTTTTCTAATTTTTGACGTGTCAACACTTAACTGTTCCATACATCTTGTAATATTTCCAGACATTTTTTGCATTGTTACACTGCCAGGTGAATCAAATGGTACTTTTTTCAAAGATATTTCTGCGGGCGGGTTGGAAAAGGTATATAGTGATCCTTGATCGTTGCTCTTTTATAGATCTATTACACCCATATTTTAGCTTTAATGACATATGATTGCACATTGAAACACCAAAATCCCCCCATGAAAGTAGGAAGTGTGATTAACTCTGCTTTGAGATATTAAAAGGTGAAACATCATGCTGTTTTCACGCCCCTTCATGACCCATCTTGCTTAAGCGATCTTGAATTAATAATACCAAAAGGATCAGTAATTATAGCAACAAGGATGAAATTCTCGGACCGAAGAAAATAACGGCACGTAAAATGCTTTTCGTATGACAATTTCTTAATACACATAATTATCATGAGAGTAAAACTAAACGCAGAGGCGTGTGCTTATGAAACAAGCATATTTATCTTGAGCTGCATTCGACGACAGGAAAAAAGCATATTTGTAAACTGATGTGGTATTTAAGCGTCGAATTACAATGGCTCGTGTTAGTATGTCAATTTATTTGCACGGCGAACCAAAAGTTTCCTTAATGCCAAAGTTATTACTATTTATGATATCAAATAATTTAATTTCGCAATATACCATTGTACATTCCTTTAAAGTTGATTTTTTTCCTGTTTTCACAGTTTTGCTTTATTTTGCTGAAATGTTTGAGACAAACTTTAAGGATACTAGAAATATATCTCGGAAACACACACACACATACACACACATACATACACACATACATACAAACATTCATACATATACAATAAATGAAAAGAGATGAAAAACAAACTGTTTCTTTCTATTAACTGAAAATCAAATTGCTTCATTCTATTTACTGACAAACCAATTGTTCCTACTATTAACCGACAAACCAATTGTTTCCTTCTATAAACCGACAAACAAATTGTTTCCTTCTATAAACCGACAAACAAATTGTTTCCTTCTATTAACTGACAAACAAATTGATTCCTTCTATTAACTGACAAACAAATTGTTTCCTTCTATTAACCGACAAACAGATTGTTTCCTTCTATAACCAACAAAAAAATTGTTTCCTTCTATTAACTGACAAACAAATTGTTTCCTTCTATTAACCGAGAAATGAATTGTTTCCTTATATTTACAGCATTCTACTTGACAGTCTGCATGGGAATGACGTCAATTACCATCTTCATGACTGTATTTATATTAAACTTACATCACGCTGGACCTCATCGAAAAGGCGTCCCAAGATGGTTGCGAATTCTGACCTATAATGTTCTTTCCCTTGTTCTTTGTCTCAAACCAAAAAAAGGAACCTTTCTGTGCCAATGTGCCAAAAAAGCATACGAACAAAATGGGGACAATAGTGCAGACGACACAGAATCCAATTATGATATATCTATAGTAGCAGGGAAACAAAATGATGCTGACGAATGCAAGCAAAAAATTGCAGAGGAGTGGAAATTTGTTGCAGCAGTCCTAGACAGATTCTTTTTCTGGCTTTTTCTGAGCGGTAATGTTCTGTATTGGACAGAATTTTCAGAAATACAAAATATGTGGAAATAGGATACTGGGATACTGAGCAAGTGTTGTTTTAACATTTATTCATTGTGTTGAAATATTTAAATTTCGTATATACTCGTATTGTGGCAAGTATTGTTCTCGTACTTTTAGTGCTTGTTTATTTATTTATTTGTTAATTTCATTTTTTTTTCTGAGTAATTAATTCTGATTTATTGTTTATTTATTTATTTATATTCTGCTATGCGTGTTCGTGGGTTTTTGTTAAAGTGAATTACTTTTACGTAATACTCTTATGATATATTATTAGATAGGACATACTTCTATTCATCAACTAGAACAAGATACTGTTTCTTTTATGTAAATATTCATTGAAAAGTGATTTTGTATTGTTTGATTTTTTTTATTGTTTTTTTCTTTTTTTTCAATATTTGAAATACTGATCCTTTACAGGAACTCTTCTTATTATATTGTACGGATAACTGTCTAGCATTTAAACTAATGTTACATTAAATGGTGATCATTGCATAAATATCAGACCAATTTGATGATGCGGAGGAAAGTTTTACACATGTTTTTATTTATAGCCTAAAAGGTTGATAAAGTAAAAGCATTTAATATGTCTTAAATGAGTATAATTATAACGTTGAAAGCTCCATATTACTTTTCATTCAAAATTAATTGATTATACCATAAAGCAGTGAAGTTTAATTTATTTTATGTTAACATGTTTATCTCGGGTTCAAAATAAGTGGCGTCCCAATCATTCATAGTCAGTGGCGGCTTATCCATTCACGCGGTTGGTCGTCATAATTTGAAAATGTATACAATAAAATGCATGTACCATTGTCTAAGATCATTATAATCTACAGGTAAAACTAAATATGTAGTTTCTGTAAGTAGAATAGACGAGTAAAATCTTTATGCAATTAATAAATTACTTAGTAACTCAACTTAACAACGCAGTCGTCAATAAATCAAAATGTAGAAAATGTTGCTGGTTCTTGTTCCTTTTTCTGCCTCGATATCAATATAATCCGTTTTAACTCAACACAGCGCAGTCTAGGGTCTAACGTGTTTTCTAGATCCCGGTGAATGGTCCTGGTCAGTGCTACTAAAAATAGAAATGGTTTTACTTTTTTTCTTCAAAAAGTTAAGGTTGCTGGAGGGGAAGGCAAATAACCTTTAGTGACGAAGTAAAAATGTTATATTACAACGCGTACATTCTTCCGGTGCTGGTTATACGGTATGGAGAAAGGTTACAAACTCATACATCAATAAAGTAAATTCCATCCAAACAAGAAGTATCTTTTTAAAGATACTAGGCCGAAGTAAAACTGGTTAATTTTCATATGTTAGTTCTTAGTTTCCTTGCAAAGTCATAAAGAAATAATAGCTGAGACGATTCCATGTATTTTCTTAACCAATTAACAACATATATCCATAATTCAGGATAGTAAGGTATGACTACTCAAAACAGATTTCTGCGATTTTTGTTAATGAGGGTTACCTTGCGTTTTCAACTAAAACTCAATAATAGAGGCAATGACAGTACAAACTTTTTAACAGAAAATTGTAAACGCATATGTCCTTCAATAAGCAAATATCAAAAAATGCTCTTCCTTATAAAAGGCATAAACAAAACTGTGGCGTTTTCAAAGTATGTCAGTATATTAGAACATTTTGTTAAGTGCTACTTTCAGGATAGACCTATTGCAAAATGGTATCAACAATGACTTTATTAATATCTCTTTTTCTGTGACCTCTTACTGCCTTTCAGCCTATTGAAATCAAGAACCAAGCACACGGTTGTAATAAAAACTTGGCTCTCGTATATTTATTTATTAATAAACATAATATTGTAAATACCAAGGAATATCATAAAAGAAGGACAGCTTTACTTCGGCTGCTTGAAAACACAAACAAATGAAGTCTTTTTGCCATGTTTGTCCAGAACAGCTTTTTAATTATTCGTGTTTGTTCAGGGCAGAAAAGGATCATTAAAGATTTTGTTAATATATCTAGTATACTAAGCATGCGCATGAAAATTCACGACAAAAAGCATATCTCGACGAAGGCGGCATATAAATCCAAAACTAAAATTGGTAAATATAAAGGAAAGTTAGGGGCGTAGTATTACATCTCGATTTTCTTCAAAAGAGCTTTGAATTTTACATAAATGTTTAAAAAGTATAAAACTTACCTTGTCATTGACCTATTTTCCCTTTCAGATATGGGGTTTAAGTTCACATCTGGATCAGCGGAACTTCACATATGTTTTTACCGATGCTCAATTCTAAGAACCATGTAAGGCTCACCCTTGTCTTATCATATATTAAGCTAAATAATTTACGTTCTAGTCCTATTTTTTGTGTTCCTTATCAATAGATTTCATTGAGATTAGAGATTGAAAAATCAAATTCTTAAGACATTTCTTTTCATTTAAACGATATATAAACAGAAAAGACATTTTAAAAGAACATTGGATATTAATAATAATTGGAGGCTGACATTTTTTAATGAAATATTTTTTGGTAAAAACAAATGTTTAACTGGCAAGCAATAAGGAAAATCCAGCGCAATGTCCTACTGACAGATCTTGCTTGATTTAAATATTTTAGGTTTGTGATAAATAAGATATGGCATTCATGTTGCTTCAGTATCAGATTTATTGAACTCAAAGAATACAGTAAAATTATGCTCGCCAGCCTCTATAATTTAAAATAAAATAAGTATTGAAGACACACACATTTAATAATTATACTCTAATTCAAACTAAAATTGATATATATTTATATTTAGTTAAAGGCTCTAGACAGCTTAAACAATCAAAGAGTACAGATTGGCTGGCTATCTGTAAATTTGTTACTTGGCATAAATTCGATATTTTTTCTTGATCATCATCTGTTTATTTCTTTTATCTTATAATAAGACATGTACGGATTCCTGATGTGAAACTAGTAAGTAAAGACACATTAACACAAAGATGAAACGTTATCAATCTAGTCCAACAATATATATGTCAAGAATATGTCTTGAATAGACTGATACCTAGAATGTTTCAAATGTCACTCCCATGCAATTACAATACGAGGTAGTCCGTCAAATGCCCGATAGAAGTAATACCCGCCATACCATTACATTAGCAAAGCGCGTAGTGTAAATGCATGCTAGTTTTGCGATTGTGGGCCTGCTAGAACTATTTGCTAATGGGTATGCCGAAAAAAGGAGCTAAGGTTACCAGCAGGTTGCCTTGTTATTGAAAGACAGAGTAGACTGCATGACGGTGATATCTCTAATTCCCATGAAAATAAACGCGATATTATCCCCTTGACATATCAATTATGATTTATTCTGTCAGTTATAATTGCTTTTTTATCTTGCAATTATAAAATATCAACGCTAATATACATTAATTCATAGTGTATAAAAGCCTCACAAATTTTGTTGGTGGCATAGTTTGCGTTATTTTGTGATAACGACAATCGTGAGTAGGATACAGTAAACTGTTGCTTTATTTAGAAAACAGAGATCAATTTTTATACATCGACACGAATATCCTGAAAAAGCGCTCAATCTTAACGGACAATCATCGAGCTTCAAATGCAGGGTATGTTAAGTTTTTTTTTAAGTTCATTCATTTCAGCCTGCTTTCACCTTATCTGAATCACCCTCGAGTCTGCTTCCAAGAGCTGACATGTATTGATATCATATAAGGATACATTGTACTGACCACTGTTTGAGAAGCAGACAATTTTACGCAAAGACAACGTTTCCCTATTTATAAGTCCCCTACCGGTATTACCGGAGTGGACTTTGGGTTTACCGTCTGTCCGTCTGTCTGTCCGTCTGTCAGTCCGTCCGTCCATAAAACTGGATCCTACGATAATGCGAAAAGTGCTTAACAAAATTTTTATGAAACTTGGTATATGAATAAATGGCAGTATGAAGAGTATGCACGTCTTTTTCTTTCTTTCCTATATTGAAAATACTGGTTTCTATGGCAATAAATAGACTGAAAATATGGCAAGTTTAACACATAAACTGGCACATTATCTTTAAGGTAAATCGGGACACTTTGCGAACTTTAGAGAAGCGTCTTGAAAATTGGCATGCAGAAAGGTGACCATATGTCTGTTTAGATCCCATTCACTTTATTCCAAAAATTACAGCCAATTTTGTACACTCTACGTCAAATTTGCATCAAAGAACGTTTTTGAACATGAGGTCGTTGCATATCCTTGGTAACTGTTACGGGTATCACAACGCCTTTGGCGGACAAAATAATTATCTTTAATTCTACAGCATTCGACGGAAATTATATTTTCCTTTAAGCTGATATATAATTAATCGTTAACGCCGAAAAACGGTTTGAAAATTGGAAAGAAAACTGTCAATTTTGTGTAAATTTGACGTTCAGTTTAGCTACATTTTTCGGCTTTAAAGCGGCTTATTAAAAAATTCCTGAAATAATGTTTTTATTTGTTTCTTTAAACGTCCTTTAAATCGTATACTTAGTCTAAGTGACCAAAAATATAAGGGTCACCTACTCAATTTATTCCCCAACCCCTTTGAATAAAAGTCACGGGGCGTTTGTTATTTTGTTTGTCGGTCATAAAATGTTCTGATATATTCATTCTTATAGTTAACCTCTATTCGAGAAATTAAAAACAAAAGACATGAGTTGAAAGTAATTAATAGATTCTTTAAATATTTGGCACAATATTGTTATTTTTTTTCTTTTCATTTTCCATATTTCATAAAAAAAAAATACTACGCTGCGACTCACGCGACCTTTGAATAACGGTACTCATTTGCTAACGAGGCCATTTAGTCAAGCTAATTATACTATGGTTTGAAATATTGTCCTATTTTATGTATTGGCCTCTACGTAGAGCTAATGTCACGTGACAAATAAACTGTTGATATACGTGGTACTGCGTTAAGTAATGTTAAACGTTTTATATATTATATTCAAGACCATAATCTATTTAAAAATTAAACATGAAAATAGGATGAAAAAATAAGTCGTTGTTTTCAGAGCATTATCAAAAATACCAGAGTCATCATTATTTAGAATAGAGTACTCTAGAAATCTACGTCACACTAAAACATTTCTTGGTAAGAGACTACGGCATTTTTGTTCATCTGTCAAGTAAATACAGGGCATTGGCGCTATAAGTATAATACAATATTTCAAAAATTATGATAGAAAAGATCATTTTAAGAGCACGGACGCGAGCTTTTTATGTTTTGTGAGCAACTTATTGCTTTGTGTGACTATGAGAATGACACAACTCCAAGACATTTGAAAACTTGTTATTTGAAACGGGCTGATACCTAAACGATATAGCTCGAAATCACGATTCAATGTATTTTCTTAACCAATTATCAACACATGTCCATAATCCAGAATAGTAAGGAATGACTACTGCGATTTTTGTTAATGAGGGTTAGCATGCGTTATCGACTAAAACTCAACAATAGAGGCAGTGACAGTACAAACTTATTAACAGAAAATTATAAACACATGTGTACTTCAATAAGCAAATTAAAAAATGCTCTTCCTAATAATTAAGCAAAAACAAAACTGAGGCTTTTTCAAAGTCTGTCCGTATTCTAGAACATTTTGTTTAGTGCTACTTTCTGGATAGACCTATTGCAAAATGGTATCAACAATGACTTAATTAGTATCTCTTTTTCTCTTAGCCCATTGATATCAAGAACCAAGCACATGGTTGTAATAACAACTTGGCTTTCGTAGATTTATTTAAACATAATATTATCTTACATTCAAAGGAATATCATAAAAGGACAGCTCTACATTCGGCTGCTTGAAAACACAAAAAATGAAGTCTTTTTGCCATGTTTGTCCAGAACAGCTTTTAAATTATTCGTGTTTGTTCAAGGCAGAACAGGATCATTAAGGAGTTAAGTTAATATACCTAGTATACTGAGCATGCGCAAACGAGATTGAATTACTTGTAAGGAGGCGTCGCATGATATACAGGTCATAGCGAAAATACTGTGCGGTATTGCGTTAAGATTAATAGTTTAAGCAAGTTCTCATTATCATTGAATGACACAGACTTGTGCCCATTTGACCTGACAAACGGGTTTGCTGGAGTGAATCATACATATATTTTCAGCGTCTTTGATCACTTTCTATCCTTTTATTGTGTATTGGAATTGCTGGCTATTGATCTCTCTTAAAGATTAAAGGGTTAAGGCAGACATTTTAAAGACGTCGCCCGTGCATTCATTCATAGATGTTATATTTCCGATCCTTGATCATTCAGCACGACATTATTGTTATAATGTGGTATTTCCTTTATGCTTTCTTTATTATATTAAAATATGATAGCAAGCAATCATTCACCGTGACTGAAATTAAACTTTTCTACAACAAGTGCGTTTATAGCTTAAATATAAAGTGCCATCCATAGAAACCTTAACATCCTTTGAAAAATACATTTTTTGATATATAAGGTATTCATCTATTTCAAAAATATTTTTAGTATCAACTTAATATAAATAATTGTTACCATTATAATAAAAACTTTAGGAATTTACTGTAATATATCATCAATTTATACTCGTACATATTTACACTTTAATAGGAAATTGAAATTAGTTAAAACTGATGCACTTAGAAGTGACTTTTACCTAATATTCAACATATTGTATTATCATTTGCTTGTTCATTTTTTGCCTCTGACCTTGTGCAATTCCTATATCTATTTAAAAAATCTCAAATGTCCATTTAAAGATCTTGCAACCCGCTAGAGAGTATGTTGTACAACTTGCATTAATTGGTGAACCCTACATTTTTGCAGAGGTTGAAGTCTGGCAACTTAATTTGACATCACAAATACACTGCATGCTGTTCCTTACACTGTGCTATAATATGATTCTAGTGATACTGTGTAACATCATTACTGTTGTCAACAAAACTAGGTTTAATGATTTTATCATGGTTGTCTAGTTAAATTTGCAAAATGTCACATGAAGACTTTGTCAGGTTATGTGGTACCAACAGTCAAGTTCCCTCAATTAAATTCCATGGTAATAATTTGACGATGTGTTGGTGTAGTGTTGAACAGGTCAGCTAGTTTTCTGAAGAAAGTCTCTTGGAGACTGCATGGCATGGGTAACAATAACATTATAAGAGTCAATTCTATTCCTTAAGCGTATTTGTTGGACCAAATCAACTAGTAATAACACCAGGATAATGATTCACTGTGTCACAGGATCAATATAGTCTCCCAATGAAGGGACAGACATGTAATTGTGTGTTTTTAATAACCACTTTAGTCATCAGACTCTAACCACTGCAAAAAAATTCAGTACACTAATAAGAGCAACCTGCAATATATTGAAACATATAACTATGATCTTGCACAAATATTATTTTTCTAACCTGTCATTTGCTTAGTTAGAACATGCTTATATTTTATTCATCTTAAAAGTTCATACAATTATACTTAGGTGTCAGTTACCCTACTTATGTGAACAATTTTTAAATATTTTGAATTTCCGCTAATATATGAAAATGTTTAAAAAAATGGTGATTCTTTAACTAACCTTAAATGATAATGCTTAATAAAGATAACAGGCATTTAAACTCATCCGGTGTAAAAATTTATCTCAGAAATATATGCAATCGGAAGAAGCGA